CAAATTAGCAACAACTCCTTCCCATCCCTGAAGTACTCTTTCCTCCCTCAGTGCACCGGAGAGTTTTAGGTGTCAACCTGACACAAGAGTCATCAGAGAGGAAGGAGCCTCAGCTGAGGAAATGCCTCCATGAGATCCAGCTGTAAGGCATTTTCTCACTTAGTGACAAATGCAGGAAGGCCTAGCCCATGGTGGGTGGTGCCATCCCCAGGTTGGTGGTCCTAGGTTCTGTAAGGAAGCAGGCTGAGCAAGTCAGGAGGAGCAAGCCAGTAAGCAGCACCCCTCCACGGCCTCTGCATCAGCTCCTGCCCTGTTTGAGTTCCTGTCCTGACTTCCTTCAGGAACAGCAATGCTGAAGTGTAAACCAAATAAACCCTCTCCTCCCCAACTTGTTTTTTTGGTCATGGTGTTTCATCGCAGCAACAGAAACCCTGACTAAGACACTCAGTGGTGGGATCCTGGTGGAACTCTTAGGACACTTAGACTTGCTCTATTCTGGGTACTCCCTGCCAAAAACACTCAAGCCTTTAACCCCAGCACTAGGAGGCAGAGGCAGGAAGACCTCTTTGAGCTCAAGGCTAACCTGGACTACACAGTGAGTTCTAGGCCAGCAAGGACTATGTAGTTAAAACCCCATCTCAAAAAAACAAAAGAATAAAAATATAGAATGCTCATTGCCAGGCGTTACTGGCTCATGCCTTTAATCCAAGCACTCGGGACACAGAGGCAGGCAGATCTCTGTGAGTTCAAGGTCAGCCAAGTCTACAGAGTTAGTTCCAGGACTACCTCCAAAGCAATACAGAGAAACTCTTGTTTTGTAAAACCAAATATATATATATATATATGTATGTATGTATACATACATACATACACACACACTCACATATACACACACACACACTCACATACACACATACACACACATACATACACACATACACACACACATATATATACATACACACACATACATACATACATACATACACACACACATACACACACACACACACATATATATATATACATACACACACACATACACATACACACACATATCTCACACTCAAGTGTCAATAACCGGTGGTTGCTTGAGAGCTGCTGTTGTTCCCCAATATGAAGTACGGACACTTTGAAGAAGAAAATTCCTTTTTTGTTTGTTTGTTTGTTTTTTGAGACAAGGTTTCTCTCTGTAACAGCCCTGGCTGTCCTGGAACTCACTCTGTAGACCAGGCTGGCCTTAAACTCAGAGATCCCCTGCCTCTGCCTCCTGAGTGCTGGGGTTAAAGGCGTGCGCCACCACCACCCTTTGAAAATTCCTTATCCTTAAAGTATAAGTCTCTAGAGAAGTGGTTCTCAACCTCCCTAATACTGTGATTTTTAATACAGTTCCTCATGCTGTGGTGACCCCCAACCATAAAATTATTTAGTTGCTACCGTGACGTAACAAGGGTTCAGAGAGGAGATTTACAGCAGGCAGATAGAGGTTTGTTAAAAAGTTCTGATCTGAGGGCCAGAAGGAAATAAGCCAAATCACACACTCATTCCTCTCATGGTTCTTTATTCTTCAAAGATGGAGGCTTCCCAAAAAAGTTCTCTCCCAAAAGCTCTCTTTAAGATTTCTCTCTAAAAGCTCTTAAAAATTCTCTAAAGTTCTTTCTAAAAAATCTCCAAAAGTTCCTTCTTCCAAAAGCTCTCCTGAGGTCCCTTTATCCCACAAGGCTTCTAGTTTTTATATCCACAGGCACATTTAACAACTCTCTGGCAAGCTTGAGTCTGGGGGGAGGGGACTTGTTAACTGATGAAAGGGGACTTCTCAGTGCTATATGAAAGGGAAAACTAAGGCTATGTAGTGTGAGATCTGTAGGCTGCCGCTCTTACCACTGACACCTTTCTCTGGGACCTATTTGAGAATACAGAGCCCCCAGTATATATTCTATATACAGCCAAATTCTGGAGTTGGCACCTAGAATATTAATTGCTACTTCTGTAATAAATGATAAAGGCTTCCAATAGTTACGAGTCATAATGTAAATACCCGATATGTAGGGTACCTGATATTCGACCCCAATGGGGTCTCAACCCATGACCCACAGGTTGAGAATCCCTGCCCTAAAGGGAGAATACAGTTACCATGTTCCAGGAAGTAGGGAGATGCCCAGGTGTATACATATGCACAGGCGCACAAAGACAAGTCTCACCCCTCTTAGGGTGCAGTTACACCAGCAGCTGAGGAAGAAGCCCAGCACCTTCCTGGGAGAGCAGCAGCCCGAGGGTCAAGGCCAGGATGTGACTCTCTAGCAAACAGTCTGTGTCCTGCAAGGGGGCGCAGCGTCTTTACCCCTTCAGGAAGCTTCCTGAGGCAGGGGACCTGGTCCTCAGTATTGCAGAGAAATCAAGTTGTTCTTCCCGGGCATCAGAGTATCAGAAGGGCAAAAATGCCTGACTCCACAAAAGATACTGCCTGAAATGTGTCCCCTGTCTGTCACACCCACCTGCCTTTCCATTTGAATTCTGGGTTCTGTCTCATTAAACACAAGGGTTGATTCAGTTGGGTCCATCTAATTATTCTTATTAAAATATGTAACCATAATATTTTAATTGTAAATTAAAGTTGCATGCATGAATGAGTCTGAATTCATTTTAATTTTACAGTGGCCCAATGCCAAGGCCTTTTTATAGGGACAATCAATCAGTTGAGGTACTGCTCCCCTGGGAATTCAAGCCAATGTGCAAATGGAACACATTTAACTAACAGGGAGACTCTCCATCCCATCTCTCCTCTTGCTAGATTTATTATGGTAATAAAGCTGCTTCGACAAGAGAGACGACATTTCCCAAATCTTTAAAAAAAAAAAAAAAAATGACTAAACCTCGAGGCTGGCACCACCAGCTCTGGAGAGCTGGCATGTCACGCCTGGCCATCTGCATCCACGTGCCAATCTGATGATTAATTAGTAATGGCTGCTATCTATAGGCACCACCTGGAAAGTGCTTATACAAACACTAGTCTAGCTTCTAGAACATCAGTGGTACTGCATCTGACCCTTCCATGTGTGGCTGGGGGGATTTTGACTAACTAAAAGACAACCAGTAGCTAGGCTCTACAGGCCCGGAGCCCTCTAGCTGGCCTTGAGTGCAGAGTACTCAAGATGAAACCCCCTTTTGAAAATGGGGCTGCCGGAAGTCTCTTTTTGATCCCCAGCTGAGGCCTGAAGGAAGAGAAGACAGCAGGGCCTTCAGCAATGCATGAAAGCAAGGGAAGCAGGAGGGCAATGCTAGAAACGGCCCAGGGGACAAGAAGGCACGGGGCAGACAATGCTCCAAAATAAGCCCGGAAACGGAGCAAGAGGTGCCCCGGAGCTGGGGAGAAGTAAGAAGTCTGGAGAAAGACTTTGGGCCTGCAGGTACCTAGAAGCCACGTGCAGGACTCTGGCCGGCTCTAACGGCTAACAGCTCAGCACTCTGGGTTCCGTGGAGAATGGACAGCCAGCTGATGAGCAGCCAGATGTTATACTACAGTACACCCTGGATCTCACTTCTCTATAATTATTTCTTACTGACAAAATTAAACTAGACTTTTTAAACACTGTATCCTCCATCCATTTGCATATCTTTTCCCTTTTCCATTGAAGGAATTGCCATTTTTAAATTCATTAATGACATAATATTGTTACCAGAGAGGACATTTTCAAGATCACTGATGCATTTATTTGTTTGTTTGTTTGTTTGTTTGTTTGTTTCAAGAACAAGCTTTGAAGTGTGTCCTGGAACTCGCTCTATATAGACCAGCCTGGCCTCAAACTCAGAGATCCACCTGCCTTTGCCTCCCAAGTGCTGGGATTAAAGGTGTGAACCACCAGGGAGTTATCTTTCTATAGTTGGTGTGGTGGCTAATATTAATTAACTTGGCAGGATCTGGATTTACCAGATATGCCTATGAGGGATTATCTTGACTAGGTTAGTTGGGATAGGAGTTCTCAACCTAAACATGGGTATCACCATTCCCTAAGCGTGGGTCCTGGGCTGCATAAAAGGAACAAAGTTGAACAAATTGGGTTAGGGGAGATGGCTGAACCGGCAGTGTTTGTTTGTTGTGCAAGCATAAGGAAGGACATGGCGTTTGATCCCTTGATTAGTGCTTGGTGGTCATGGTGACAAGGACATGGTGACACAAACCTGTAATCTCAGCACTAGGGGAAGAGACAACGAATCCCCGTGGCGCATCAGCCAGTCAGTCTATGCTAATTGGCAAGTCCCAAGCCAAGTGAGAGACCTTGTCTCATAAAGCTAGGTAGAAGGTACATAAGGATAGCACCTGAGACTGACCCCTGGCCTCCATGTCCACACGTACACTCACTCATAACTGCACACACACTCACACAAGGTATGGTAGTACACACCTTTAGTTCCAGTATTTAGAAGGCAGAGTTTGTGAGTTCCAGGTCAGCCTGGTTTACACAGAGAATTCTATGAGAGCTAGGGCTATAGTGAGACCTTGTCTCAAATAAATAAATAAATGACAGTCTTGCTTGAGTTGTGTGGGAAACAAACAAAAACAAAACATCAACAAACAGGGAGTTCTAAAAGACAGCAAAAAGGTCAGACCGAAACTAACGGCAGACGCTTTCGTGGGTACCTACTCAAAGCTGGGAGTACCCAGGGATGAGTCAGCAGAGCAGAAAACCAAGCAAGCAGATGAAAGAGATGCTCAGGCAAAGAGCGGGAGGCAGAACCTGGAGAATTCTGGGTCTGGGAGGCAGTGTTTAGACCGATGGGTAGCTGGCGAGTGCACCACAGCCAGTCACAGGCCAGAGAAGGAATGCCACGGACATGGCTACAGTGGGGACACGCAATGTCTGTCTTCCTTCAGCCCCTTTTGAGATGTCACCAGTTTCCAGTTACTACTTGGACCAATCTGTGATGAGCCAAAATTCGTGGGTTATGTATTTTCAAGTTTTCAGCCCAGACTTTACACAAATGAACGGGTAATGTCTCACCTCTTTCTGTTGCTCAGGAAACATCTTCAGCTCAGGACACGGTCAACCTGAAAAAACAAGGTATCATCAATACTAGTGACATCAAACTTCCACTCTAGAGGACCCCCCAGAGTCCCCCAAACTCTTCAACCTGGGGAACTTCATAACTTCCCATTCCCCTCCCTGCAGCCCTGTGAAAACAGATGGTTAAGATGTGATATACGGTCCAGATGCACAGAATCCTCAGAGGGGAGAGTTTGTGGCTCGTTTTTGACTTGGCGGACAGGATCTCACATATCCTAAGCAGGCTTTAAATTCACTATGTAGCTCCTGGTCCTCCTGCCTCTACTGTCCTAGTGCCGGATTTAAGTGTCCACCACCATACCTAATGACAAGTGTCCTCCTAAGAGAAAGAAGAGGGCCAGGTGTGGTGGCCCATGCCTGTAGTCCCAGTACTTAGGAAGCTAAAGCATTAGGATGGTCATGAGTTCTAGACCAGCCTGAGCTACAGAAGGAGGAGGACCCTTTCCTAAACTTCTAGAGGGAGCAGCATCCTCAGGTCGGGACTTCCAGCCTCCAGAATTGTGTAAGGATACATTTCTATGGTTTGAAGGACCAAGTATGTGGTAATATAGAATACTAGAACAGAGGAGACCTGTGCGGGGTGAGCTAGAACTGGGAATGAAGTTCTGTCCAAGCACTCATTCAACAAGAGCAGAGTTTGGCTGGGCAGTGGTGGCGCACGCCTTTAGTCCCAGGACTGGGGGGGGGGCCAGAGGCAGGTGGATCTCTGTGAGTTTGAGTTTGAGACCAGACTGGTCTACAAGAGCTAGTTTCAGGACAGCCTCCAAAGCCTGCAGAAAGGTCATTGCTATAGTCTAGATCTTAACTACCTGCCAAGGGCCCATGAATTCAAGGCCCAGCGCCAAGTCTACGGGCTCTCTGGAAGTGGTAGATCTTTGTGAGACAGGATTAGTTCAAGGGAATAGTCAGTTCCCAGCACCCACGCCAAGTAGCTCACAGCCACCTGTAACTACAATTGCAGAGATTAGATACACCTTCCGGCTTCTGCAGACACTGATGCACACACACACACACACACACACACACACACACACACACACACACACACACACACACACACTCACACACACAAGTAAATTTACAAGAATTTAAAATAGACAAGTCACAACTCAAAACTATTTATAACATATGTGACAAAATACGAACAGATCAATTCATGGAAATGCTCTTGCAAGTCTCCCAAAGAATATTTCTGTAAAAAGGCGAGCAAAGGTTTTCAGCAATCAGCCCATAAAACTAAAACCGAAAAGGTATTTAGATAAAAATTACAGAAAGCCTTTGATTTGGCCTGAGTCTCACACTAGGCTCAACAGACCGATCAAACCAGAATGCGGTCTCCGATCAGGTGCCAAGCAATCAATGAACCTTGAAGTTCATACCAATGAGCCACAGGGCTCTTTACATAGGAGGTAGGATGAGCAAGGCCATTCTGCTTTAGTCCAACAAGGAAGCGATCGATCCACTCTTCTTCCTTGTTCCTATCTCTTGCAACATGTCTCTTCCTTCAGCCCTTCAGCGGAGCTTGCCAGCCTCTGCTCTGCTCACCAGAGCTCATCATCTGGTCATGTTAGTTGTGTGTGGCACAAGGAACCAAACTCGGGACCTACACATGCTAGGCAGGTGTTCTACTAACTGAGCTATGTCCCCATCCCTCATCTAATCTTTAAATAATGCACTCCCTGGTTCTTCAGCAGCAGCATTCAGGATCCTACACATGCTAGGCAGGTGTTCTACTAACTGAGCTATGTCCCCATCCCTCATCTAATCTTTAAATAATGCACTCCCTGGTTCTGCAGCAGCAGCAGCATTATCCTAAGGCCCAGTGATGGTGGTGCACACCTTTAATCCCAGCCCTTAGGAGGCAGAGGCAGGCGGATCTTTGTGAGTTCAAGGCCAAGCCTGGTCTACAGGGCAAGATCCAGTACAGCAAAGGCTACACAGAGAAACCCTGTCTTGAAAAATTAAAATAATAAATATTCTGAAAATAGAATTCCCACACATAGCAATTTCACTTCTGAGTGAATATACATACATATATATAAAATTTTATTTTATGCATATGGGTTTTGTCTGCATTTATGTCTATGTGCTACATGCCCGCTTACTACCCTCAGAGGTTAAAAAAAAGTGTCAGGTCCTTTGGAGCTGGAGTTACAGATGGTTATGATCCATGATGTGGGTGCAGGGAATCAAACCTGTGTCCTCTGAGAAGAACAGCCAGTGCTCCTAACTACTAATCCAACTCTCCAGGCCCTGGGTATTTATTTTTTTTAAAAACTGAAAGTAAGCCGGGCAGTGTTGGCACACGCCTTTAATCCCAGCACTCGGGAGGCAGAGGCAGGCGGATCTCTGTGAGTTCGAGGCTGGGCTGGACCGACAGCCTCCAACTCTGTCTCGTAAAAAAACAAAAAAAAAACTGAAAGTAAAATCTCAAAGGGATATTCATACATTGTGTTCATAGTAGAATTGTCCACAAGACTAAGACAGAGGAAACAATTCAAGTATCCATAGACAGATGAAACAATAAGCAAAATGTGGAATGTAATTAGCATATGCTACCACACAGATCAGTGGTTCTCAACCTGTGACTTATGGCCCCTTGGGGGGGAACACAAATATTTATATTATGATTCATAATGGTAGCAAAAATTAGTTATGAAGTAGCAACAAAAATAATGTTATGGTTGGGAGAGTCACCACAACATGAGGAACTGTATTAAAGAGTCACAGCATTGGGAAGGTTGAGAACCACTGACATAGATGAACTTTTCAGACATTAGGCTAAATGCAAACAGTACAAAAGACAAATCCTTGATGACTCCACTCATATGAGGTTGCGTGTGTGATGTGTGTGTAAGTGCCTAAGTGCAAGTAGGTGCACATGCGTGCAAATGGAGACCAGAGGTTGATGTCAAATACCTTTCTCAATTCCTCTATCACATTTTTAGAGACAGAGCCCCTCCCTGAATCCAGTGCTCACCAACTGGCTAGACAGAATAGCCAGGAGGCTCCAACGATCCTGCTGTCTCCACACCCACCCTGCAGTGGAGTCACAAACACATGTCAGCACGTCAGGCTTATTACATGGGGGGGGGGGCAAACTCAGGTCCTCATGCTTGCACAGTGAGGACCTTACCAGATGAGCTATTGCCCACACCCTCCTGTGAGGCTTTTAACCTAGTCAAATTCATTCAGGAAGTAGGCAGGGGCTAGGGAGCAAGGAGGAGATAGCACACTCTTCTTCAGTGGACAGTTTCAGTTCTGCCAGACACAAAATGAGCTAGAGAGGTGTGGCACATGACATGTGTGCGTGACACATGACTGAGCTGTGCATTAAATGGGTAAGAGGATGAGTTTCACGTCATGTTTCCTATCAGAGTCAAGACTTACATTTTTTAAAAACTCTAAAGTACATTTAAACACTTAGCCTTTTCTATTAGCAGAAGCTTAAAGACACCAGATACCATAGTTGTCCCTTTAAAGATTTGAATTCTAAAAAGATAATTCAACCTTATATTTCAAGAGTATTTGTAAATTGTTTACATTCCTTAACTCAGAAAATTCAACCTAAACAGCTCAATACAATTTGTGCACAGGCCAGGCATTGGTGGCGCATGCCTTTAATCCCAGCACTCGGGAGGCAGAGACAGGTGGATCTTTGTGAGTTCGAGACCAGCCTGGTCTACAAGAGCTAGTTCCAGGACAGCCTCCAAAGCCACAGAGAAACCCTGTCTCGAGAAAAAAAAAGCCAAGAAAAAAAAGGAGAAGAAAATAATTTGTGCACAGTATATGCATACCAACAGACATCCCCAGTGTGGTTTGCCTTAAGTGGTACATCCTAACACTGGGGAAGCCATAGCAGGAAGAAGGACTCAAGTTCAAGGCCAGCCTGTTTCAAGGTGAGATCCTATCTCAAAAAACTAAACAACCAGGCATGGTGGCACACACCTTTAATGCCAGCATCAAGAAGGCAGAAGCAGGAAGACCTCTGAGTTCAAAGTCAGTCTGGTCTACATAGCAAGTTCCAGACCAACAAAGGATACACAGTGGGACCCTAACTCAAAAACAAACAAATTGGGGTTGGAGAAATGGCTCAGTGATGGTTCTATTCCCAGCACCCACCTGGCGGCTCACAATCATCTATATAAATCCTGTTCCAGTGGATCCAATGCCATCTTCTGGCCTGGGTGCACAAGACATGTACATAGTGCACATACATGCACACAGGCAAAACGTTCATACACACAAAATAAAACAGATATATCTTTTAAAATCAAAAATAAATACAGGGATGAGAAAGATGACTTAACAGGTAAAGGTGCTCACTGTGGAATATGACAAGCTAAATTCAATCACTTGGGCCCACATGGTAGAAGAGAACCAACTCCTCCAAGTAATCCCATGATCAACACACACCACACACACACACACACACACACACACACACACACACACACACACATTTAATGAAGATGTAGCCCAGTGGTGTAGCATTTGCCTAACATAAATGAAAGGCTACCGTAGGCTCAATCACTATTACCACAAAAAAAAAAAAAAAGAAGAGAATATGAGAATATCAAACCTAGCATGTTGCTGGGAAGTGGTGGCACACGCCTTTAATACCAACACTCAGGAGGCAGAGGCAGGCAGATCTTTATGAGTTCGAGACCAGCCTGGTCTACAAGAGCTAGTTCCAGGACAGCCTCCAAAGCCACAGAGAAACCCTGTCTCGAAAAACCAAAAAAAAACAAAAAAAAACAAAAAAAACCATAGAATGTGTAGACCAACCAGGCAGCACTATTAGTGCCTTTTTCAAGGTATGTGTTTATTACTTTACTTATTTACTTAAAACTGGGTCTTATGTGACCAAATAAGTGATGGTCACTTCTAGGTAGTGGAATTATGACTATTCTAAATTCCTTCCAGAACGGAGGTATTTACAGAGATAGGATGTAATGTGCACCAGGTGCTTAGGGCTGGCAGA